ATTTCAGCCAGCAAGCCTCCAGCATACAGGAGAATTTGAGATTTTTCTCCCTCCCCCATTTCTTCTGTTTTTGTTCCATGTAAACAGTTTCTGCCGTAGTAACATAGACAAATATAGCAGAGAATGCTTTTCTGGGAGATAGACGCTCCCTAAGCATTTTTTAACCATTTTTGGGAAGAATTGATCTTTCTGTGTGTTTCAGACAGACTAAAAGAGGGGGAGGCTGTCGCTATAAATTGAAGTGACATCATATGTGTTGCCCCCATTGATCTGCATTTAGTCTCCAGCCAGGATAAAAGGAAATAGCATCAGGGAGGAAGCATGCTTCATTTAGGCACAGATCCCAGAGTGATAATGGGGTAATAATAGAACTCACGCCACCGTCAATCGAGGACGGCTGCATTAGTCCCGAGCTCATTCTCTCTGGGAGCGGCACAGCGCCTGGCCTCCAGTGTGAGCAGCTGTGGTGCACCAGCTGGGCCGCAGAGGAGGTGCCCTCCTCGGCTTTCAACGGGGTACAGGCTGTGGGGCTAGGATTGTGGTGTGAACTGGTCCCTCTTTACAGACCTTGCCTATGGAAGCTCAGTTCTGAGGTGTGTCCGTGGAGTGTCTGACCCAGGAGGTGAGCTGGCCTGCGTGTGGTGCTAATGGAAGAGCCGTGGAGGGCCTCAGTTGTGTGGGTGGTCTACTGGGAGCTGGGATGAGTGATGCCCCATGACAGCGGTGAGAGGCTTCTGGAAGAGTCAGGATTTGTTTTCTTTGTATTGCTTGTAGGTTAAGAGGGTGGGTTTGGAAAATTCATATTTTCTTTCCAAGAGTCTATAAAAACTTTTTAAAACTATTCAAAGTTGTGCAGCTTGTCCCAACTCTTAAGTTGACTGGGAAAAATAGAAGTCGACGTTTTTGTCTGTGCACGTCTCAGTAATTAACAACTGTGAAATCTTCCGTGTTTACTGCAAGAATACAGACTTCTGAAATCCTTAACAAGTAGCATTTGTACTTGACTGACCGCCTTTAGCGGTTTGCTTCATGCATTCATTTGAGTGAGTTTTACAGTCCTGTGTAGTTCTCTTTCAAGTACCCACATGACTTTGGCACCCCATAGTCTTATTTTGTCTGTTTCCATGGCAGATGCATTTTTAAAATACTGAGCTGGTCTCCATATGGAAAAGATAATCACCCCATCATGAATTCCTTGTTTGTGCAAAGAAAGGAAGGACCTTTATTTTTGTCACTGTTGAACTTGGGCTCAAACACTGTTAGTTCTCCAGAAATAAAGCCAGGTTCATTCCATAATGTCTAAGGGCCCTGCTTTCTTAGGAGATAATGCTGAGACTTACTTTATTTTTCTCCGTCCCACTGTGCAGTTAGAGCCGTGTCTGTCTCCTGGAGTACTGCTGTACTCAAACCCAGTTGGCCTAGAAGTCATGTGAGACTGAATTTGATTTCTGCGTGGGTGGGAGTGGAATAAGCCACATAGCATTTCCCGTTGCCCCTGTGCCAGCTGCCAGGGTGGGTCCCTCCCAGGACTGCCTCTGAGCACAGATGCTGGTGTGTGAGATCTTCCAGTTGCTTTGCAAACATTTTGGCTTTTTCATGCTCATCCCTTTTCAACGTTGGGTGGCTTTACAGGGAGCAAATGTTTATTTTAGAAAAAGAAATTTACTGTATTAAAATGTAGCTAGTTAACCCATTTTTGCATTAAAGTGAATGTTAAAATCCTCTTTTCAAGGTCTGTAAAAAAAAAAAAGTGATGTCATTTTTACTTGTGAATGAAAGAAGCTGAATTGGTTTTATTGACAGGGGTCTAAAACAGCTTTAGATCATCAGTTATCTACTTTTTCCATTGTTTAGAAGCCACATTTCCCTGCAAATTAGTAACAGTTGAGAACCAGGTTGTTTATAAGTGAGTCATTTCTGCAGGTGAGTGGGGGCTGCAGTCCCGGGAGGGCGGTGTGGGCATTGTGGAGGCTGCTTCCCAAGCCTGGGCCGTTCCTGCAGCATTCTGAACACGCTGGCTCTTGCAGCAGTGTGTCTTGGCGCCTTATTGAAGGATAAGCAGACACCTGAAGAGGGTGTCACCCTTGTTCTGTTCCTCCCTCCAGTTAGTCAGTCCAACTGCAGTCAAACCCTGCAGGTTTGAGTGTGCGGGTCCTCCTTCCTTCCGTTTTAAGTCAGGAGGCATAGCTTTAAATATTTCCATTGCACAAAATTTGGAAACAAAAGCTTCCAGTGACCCTTTCATTTCTATTTCAGCGCGCAGGTGTGTGAACTTCGTGCTTGGAGGGAAACTGCGAGATACCAGAGTATGAATCCAGGCATTTTGATGGATTTGTATATGAGCAGTCCTTTGATTTTTAAACTGGAGTTGTGTTACTGGTTGAACTTAGTTGGAGTAAGTTAAGGCCAGTTGTCTTACTCAGGGACTCTTTTCTTCTGTGGGTCTTTAGTTTAAACCAAGTCCCAAACTGAGCTCTAACAATAGACCTCATTGTAAACACAGGCACATAATAGGGAGATGCTTTTCTGCTCTTTCCTTCTCTGTAATTCTGCAAATTGGCAGGGCTGGTTCCTGCTGTATTTAGTTAGCAAACACTGCCAGATCCCAGTGATGGGTGTTCTCTGCCGGATCAGGCCTGTTAGTGCCGAGAGCTGATCCTGTGGGCTGGCCCCTTCCCAGGGTCCTGCCTGTGTGTCTGGGGAGGCCTTAACACCCAGCACTCTCCCTCTCAGTGGCTGCCTTTGGAAATGCTGCTTATTGGCTGTGGCGGTGGCTGTCAGGTGCAGGCAGGCTGGGCGTCTTTCATTCAGTCTGGCTTTCTCTGGCTCCCTTACCTCCAGCCTTTGCATAGGGAGGTGGGCTGCTTCTATAAGGGGTCTTAGGCCAGGCCACAGTGGGACACTTCAACGACAGAACCAGAAGCCATGGAGTGGGTTGAGGAGGGCCTCACAGGGGAGAAAGGGAGGCTTTGCAGAGGGTGTGCTGCAGGAAGGCTGGGGCCTGGCCTCCGGAGGACAGCCCCGACCCCACCCCCGCCAGGGCTAAGGTCCAGGATCTGGCTCAGCCTCCTGTGGGACACTGAAAGTTGCTGTCGGGTTTGGTGGGTACGGGGAGGAGAGGAGAGCCGGGGGCTATGCTAGAGGATCTGGAGCCCCAACAGGAAGGAAGGAGAAGCCAGGCAGAGAACAGTACCAGCTGGGCTCCGGGGCGGGGAGTCGAGGCTTCCTCGCAGGCTTCTTTTGATATTACAGAAGTAGCCTGTTATCTAAGCCTATAGGAAATGGCAGGCTGATGTTTGTGTTATTAGTAGTTATGCAGTAACTTAATCGTTAAAGCATCTTACCGGCGTGTGACTTCTCAAGAAAGGAAGTGCTAGTCCTTCTCGGAGTCCTTGTGTTGGACCTCACAGGACAGTGCTAATCATAATGTGATTTTGCCAAAGACACCTGACTTCCCCGTCGTAGTCCGTGGCACGGTGTTGGATGGAGTGGTCTCCCAAAGCCAGTACCCTTGGGAGCAGAGGAAAGTGCCTCTGCTGCCCTCTGTGGGAAGTGAAGTCATTAGAACTTAGACGGGTGGGGAGAGGAAGCGCTGGAAAGGACTTTCTTTGTGAAATGACGAGCTGATCCTCGTGCGTGCTTCATACTTGCCTGCTCATTTTAGGAGAGAGCGAGTGTGCATGTGTGAGAGGGTGGGAAGGGCAGAGTGCACACTTAGGGACAAGAAGAAAATGAGGGGTGGGGAGAGAAGCAAGTGATTTTTTTTAATTTCTTTTGAGTAATAGAAAGTGACATTTAAAATCCAGGTGTTCTTATGAATATTCTCTGATCTAGTATTGGCTTCCACGTTTGTAAATTTTGGCTTGTTAACAGGATTTTGTGGGCACAAGCAGGGGTTGGAGAGAAGCTCAAAGTGTGGAGAGTAGTGGATTCATGATGGTGACTTAAGCCTTGATTTTAGAATAAGCATTTTCAGTTCCTGCAAGATGTACCTGCTGCTTGTTGGTTTTTCTCCCTCGGTGCGTGCCGGGCCCATCCAGTGGTGCCCACAGGTGCCATCTCACACACTTAGCTCGCGGGTTCCACAGATACTGTTTATTGACAAGTTGTCTTTTTTTAACCTCATAAAGACTGCATTCTCTTTCACCCTTACTGGGATGCTCGCCGGCCTGTCCTGTGGGAAAATTTAGGAACGGGGTGACTTTGTGTGCATGTGCATCACTGTGTGCAGCCTTTAAAAAAATGTATGTTATGAATGTAGAGTTTTATAATGCAGGGATTATGAGATGCTGTGATTGTTTTTATCATATGCTCTTTATTTCTCAGTGTGCACCAGGTATGTTTGCAGAGTTTTTATGGCTCAAAAGGAAATCTGAAACTGCTTCTTATTTCTGTTAAGCTTCCATGTGTTCGCCTCACGTTCTTCTTGAATCTCTTTCTGGGCTGAAAGACATGTTGTTTGCATATGCTTGCCATAAATACACAGATCTCATAAAACAAAATCATATTTTATTAAGATAACTTTTTTCCCTTTTGGGGGGCGTGTCACTGGGGATTGAACTCAGGGGTGCTCTACCATTGAGCTACATCATCCTCAGTTCTTTTGATTTATTTATTTTTAAAGGTAGGATCTTGCTAAGTTGTGGAGGCTAGCTTGGAACTTAAAATCCTCTTGCCTCGGTCTTCTGAATAGCTGGAATCACATGTGTACAGAATAGCACCCAGCTGATAAGTATTGTTTTGATAGACTCTAAGTCTGTACCTGAAATGAAAAGCCACCAAAACATGGCTTTGTTAGACCTCAGAGTGCATTGTCTTAGGGGATGCAGATGAGGTAAGCCTTGAGGTTTGACTAGAGTCATTCCCATCGTCTTCCTCAGTTTCAGACACAAGCTGAGAGTACGAGGTAACCTTGGGTCTGCCATCCTTGTTCTGAGCATGGGGTTTGATATATTGTTGGCGGAATGGCATGTTCATAGTCTGTTCTGTTTTGCCCTCAGCTCCTTCCGGACCAGCTGGTCTTGCTTCTAGAGCATCTCTTGGAGCAGAAGACTTTGAAGCCCCAAACTCTGCAGAGCCTCCAGAGGACATACCGCCTCCAGGAGCAGGATGCAGAGGTAACCAGAGACTTCAACAGCAGATCCCTGCTGGTGGGGATGGAGGGGGCCAACCTCATGGCAGTCAGTCCCAAGCCATTGAAGGCACCATTTCGTCAGTAGGGGGAAGAACAGGGGCCTGAAGCCAAGAGGAACTGCCCCCCAGCTATGCTTGTTGCAGCAGGACCCTCTGGTCATGCTCCTGCCTATCGCTAAAGTATTTTGAAGTCCTAGGTTTCCCTCCCTACTTCTTAAATAATAAAAGTGGACATAAGTCTTAAAAGACTGAGCGGGCAGGGTGGGGTGTTTTTGAATCTGAGCTAGACAGGTCATCTTGTGTACTGATGGTGGCGCCGTCCTGTTGCACATTAAGGAAACTTGGCTCAGATGTGTCCAAGTGTCTTTCTTGTGTTCAGTTAGGACAGGAAAGGAGCCATGTGGAAAGGAAATGAAAACTGAATCTAGCAGCCATGATTTAAAAAGTAAATTGGATGCTTGTGGGAAAGCAATGTGATGTGGTCCTTAAAATCTTTTAGCTCAATGGGAAGAATGCAATAGGAATCCTAAGATGAATTCCAGGTTTTAAAAATATAAAATAAATATTCTGTGTGCGTAGTCATCTGAAGTGAAACACAGATCTCAAAGAGAAGAGCTCTTCTCTGTAAAACTCTAAATGCAGAAAATGCAAGCAAATTTGGTTTGCATTCAATTGGAAATAACTGAACTTCAGCACTCTACAGTTCAGAACACCTGTGGCCCTTGAGCTGGAAATGTAGCTGTTTTGAGATTTGTTGCAACTGTAAGATATTGAAGACATTGTATGAAAAGCAAAATGTCTCATTTTCTCCATATTTGTTACAGTGTATTTCTTGGAATGATAGTTTAGATGTGTTGGGTTGAGTGGAATATTAACATTATATTTCATTAAAATGGAGCAGATTGATACTCCCCAGTTTTTACTAATTCAAAGGTCAGATGGACATCCTCCTTGTTCATTTTAAAGCTCCATAAATTTAGGAGTAATTGCAAGACTGCAAAGAAGACATGTCGCAGCTTTTTACCCACCTGAGGATAGGTCAGAAGTGCAACTGTTGCTGTTTATTTCAGCTCTAGAGTTTTGTTTATAGGAGTGTCTAAATGCCAGGCTGTTATTTTTAATTAGTGTTTAAAAGACCTTCCTATTTATAGGCATTAGACTGTGTTTTAATGGGAGTTGAACACCAGTGGAATGTCAGACTCCTGCGCAGGCCTGCACAGACAGGGGCACGAGGGCCAGACAGCCGTTGGGCACCTGTCCCTCCATGCCCGGAAGCCACGAGGTGCTAGACCCTATTTTCCCTCTTCCTTTTGGCATGAGACACATCCTGCTCTTAACTTACCACCCAATTTAGTTGTTATATATAACCTCTTAAACCCTTGAGAAGGACAACAGGTTTTATCTAGTCGCTTGTTTTACATCTCACAAACTATATCATGTTGCCCAAAGATGGAGCTGTCTCTTATTTAGATCCCTGGTTCCAAGAGACAGGTCTGGGTGCAGCGTGGCTCAGTGTGTGACTCGCGTGGTCCGTGCTTGTGTAGCTCACACGTGTTCTCTAGGGACAGGAACAGAGCAGTTTGTGCACAGATGAGGCTCTTGAAATTCCTCTGACTTCCCAGAATGAACAGGGGGTGCACAGGTGAAGTTGGGCCAGGTTTCTCTAGACAGTGCTCAGGAAAGGACACTCAGAGGTGACATCAATCCAGGACCTAAATGAGAAGGAGCTCTGGTATAGGACTAGGTAGTTGATATTTCAGACCATACGATTTCTACCAAACCTGCTGCAGCTGCTCAGGCCCCTCCTCGCATGAAAGCAGTTTAAACAATGTAAGCAAACAGATATGGCTTTGTGCCAATTAAACTATAGACCCACAAGATCATCACATCCAAATGACTGTTATTTTTCTCCCCTTCTTATTTTTTAAAGCTATTTGAAAACATAATATCTATATACACTCTTCCTCGCTGAGGACTGAGTTGGCCTGTGTGTTGAACCACGTGCCAGGGCCTGCACGGTTGAGGTCAGGGACCTTGTGGCCACTGTGTGCATTTGGGGTCTCACTCTACCAGTGCCTCCAGCCCAGGCCCTTGGTCCTGGCACATAGTCAGTTGCACGGACACTTATCTTACTGTGAAGTCTCCATGCAATGTCACTCGAACAAGAAAAGCAACAAGATTTTGGATATCCACAGTGTTTTGTAGGAATTTTATTAGCTAAATGGATCTTTCATGACGCTGAGTAGCAGGAACTAGTTACCCAGTCAGCTGCCTTTATCTTAAGGGATAGACATCTCAGGAGAGACAGACTTGTTCCTTGGTGGAGCAGCCAGGAGAATTCTGACTGGCACTTAGTAAGCAGGAGTTGTCCTGTGAAGGGCTACCAGGGCTTTTAAAGGTGGACTAGGTAGCAACATGTGAAAGATGGCCCGAGAGATGGGCACATCAGGCTGTGTTCTGGATGTCCCTGTGGGGGGCTTCCTGAGGAGTTTCCAGCAGGACCGGGGCCTGGAGAGCCCTGACGCTCTGCCTGGGGTGCTGCCAAGCCATCCCGAGAGAGGTCACCCTGATGAAGGGTCTCTCAAAGCAGGGGTGCTGTGACCCAGGAGCATTTCTCTCCCTACTCGGACTGGGCATGTCCCCTGTTCCCAAGTTGTGTGGAAAGACCCCCTGCCCTTCCTCCGGCTGCTGCGCTGTAGCTGCTCAGGCCCCTCCTTGCAGAGCACGTTGTTCTCCTGTTGGTCCCCAGGCTGTCCTTCAGGTGGTGTGCTCTTGCCTGGGACTGGGAAGGAACTGACTGGGAGACCGTCCTGATGCCCTAGGCTAGTCGGGGCTCTGAGGCAGGGGCTGCTGGGCTGCCCCTCCCTCCTCCTGGGTGTGGGGAGCCGTGCGGGCCCATGAGAAGCTTATTCTGAGCTCCTTGTGCAGTCCTAGTAGTTGGGTTGCCCCTGTCCCAGTCACCATCACAGAATAAGAATTCCTGAGAGTCCCACCAAGGCAGATGCTGCTATGTCGGGGCTGGGGAAATACTGTCTCAGGGTACACACCCTGCCCTGCCCTCCCTGTGCCCGCATCCTGTGTTGTGTGAATACGCAGTCAGCTCTGAGGAGGTGACCCTGTGTGTCCAGAACTCTGAAGGAACAGCCCTGAGGGCTGATGTGAGGAGGAGGGTGGAGGAACAGGCTGCTGGGACACGTTGCCCCTGCAGGTGGGGCACAGGCAGGGCACCTTTGCATTTCTCCCTCTGGAAAGTGCAGGTGAGGATGGGAGTCAACTGCGTGTTGCATGATGGAGTCACAGAACTGCCAGTCTCCTGCCAGGTTCCTTTGGAAGGACCATGGGTCAAAGGGAAATTTACTCCATAAAAGTGCCTTGTCTGCAGTTATTTAATGCACTGCTCAAATAAAGATTAAAAATATACTCGGCTGGATCAAAAAGTGTTTTTCAAGATCCCTTTTTAAATAGTGAATTTTCTATCTGTTTTATCAAGTCTCTTAAGCTGAAACCATGGTAGTGAGTTCCATGGAGTTTTCTGTGACCTCTTTCCCCCGTAGGGTTCCGCCCAACTGTCTCGTAGTCATTGTGGCTCCACAGACTGTACTGAGCACCTCAAACTGGGGGGATGCCTTGTGCAACGGCATCTGCCAGCATTGTTTTTGAAGAGGCAGCAGTTCACCATCTTGTCTGGGCTAAATAGAAGGTAGCCACTAGTCATGAAGATCCACACTGTGTTTCAGAAAATTAATTTTGGGGAGAGGCCAGCTTCAGTTCGTCTCCTCTCTGAACTGGGGGACATGCTCTTGGCTAAAGGAAGAGGCCACCTGGAGTAGATGGGAGTAAGAGGGTTCTAGTTTCCCTTTAGGGCCCCACAGGGAGGGGAGGATGGTTCTGCTCCTGTTACTTAGTCTCCAGACTCGCAGGCCATACACCTGCTGCTGGCTGACAGCTGGGCTCTGCAGTGAGCTGGGCTTGGGCCCCAGAGCCCGCTGTAGGCAGCACAGACACATCGCCCCTCCCAGTCCTGCTCCCTCCGCAGCACACCAGTGCCTCAACCTTGCTCACAAGATTTGGTGGGGGTTTGTTTTTTACCACTGCCAACTGGAAAAATTTCATGAAACTATCTTTTTTGGATTTTTTTGTTTTGTCCTGTTTCATTTTCTTTTAAAAATCTACATTGCGACATAAATTGAGCTTATAGTTCCTGATGGATCACAGGCCACATTTTGGAAAATGCTATATGGGATGACTTCAGGGTTTTTACAGCTCTCCTAATCCCCGCCCTTGGGGACTCTGGGCGAGGTTCTTGTGCCTTGATTTCCTCAGGATTAAAATGGAGCTGTGAATCCCTCTTCACAGGACTGTGAATGCGTCTAGGAGGGCGCTAAGGACACGTGGGTGCTCTTGCTTTGTTTCTGTGTTTTTAGGCGGGTGGCCTCCGCTGGGAATGAACCCAGGGCCTCTCCTCTGCTCTGCTCCTGCTCTTCTGAGCCACACCCCCAGCTGACATTTTCTCATCTGGTCTGAAACGATAGTTTGTGATTTAACTGAAACAACACTGATGTCAGCTCTATTGTGCCTTTTAAGTGAGGATGAGCATAGAGTAAGAGGGAGAAAAACCATACGCCCAGTTGTTAACTATGGATTCTGTCCACAGTTACTCCTAATGGCGACCCTGCTGTTGGAGTCCGTCTGCATGTGGCCACAGAATTCCTAGTCTGGGGCTTAGTGGCTAAATCCAGGTTTTCCACTTCAGCATTGTTGACATCTGGGACTGGGTGAATCTTCTCGGAGGGCCATTCTGTGCACTGGTCAGGCCATTCTGTGCACTGGTCAGCGCCTCTGGCTTCTCTGCCCATGAACTGCCAGTAGCAGGTCCCTCCCTTCCCCCGCTGGGGCACTTGGAAGTGTCTCTAGGTGTTGCCAATGTCTTTTTGGTGGGCAGAGTCTCCCAGTTAGAACCACTGCCCATTGTGAAGCCTCGGAT